AGTAGGTGCAACAGAGATCAGATGGCCTGCAAAGACTAAAATATTTAGTATATGGTCCGTAACAGAAAAAGTTTGCAAACTTCTACTGTGAAATAAATCTTTTGTGTGTATTCAAACTGAGTGTACTATATATATTCTGGCACTAAATACCAGAAAATAAGACAGGAATGACATGTGAATATTCACACTGACTATAAACCTCACCAAAATGGTATTTTTCTAGACATTTTTTGGTACCATTATAATAATGCAATTAATTTATCTACATTTTCAAATTTATGCACACACTTTTCCTTACATCTATTCTAAAACATTTAGTGTAATAAAAGATTGCCAAAGGCACAAACTTTCAAACAACTATATAAAATTTGGGGGAAAAAGTCCCTTTCTCTGTGTTTAAAATGTTTACTTCTTTAACTCTTCAACTTTTTCTCTAAGGGAAAAACATTAGATGTCTCAGAGGCAGTTAATAAAACATTAAGGACCCAGACTTCAACATGAAATAACATTTTGGGTCTCTTTAGGTCTCATTTGCTTTTTCCCCCCATTCAAAATTGTTATTCTCATGTTACCTTTTGACACAGACAATAATAACTCACAGGGTGCTCATATCAACCTTACCTGAACTAAAATCCGCGGTCTCTGAGGAGATGGAAAAGGAACTTTATGCATAAAATGAGAAATATGCCTTGAAAACAAACAAAAACCCAAGTGATTCCAAAGTTAATATCACATGCTACAAAAATCAACGTGTCATCACAAGTCCAAGTTGATTCAAAAGCCCTGTGTATAATTTTGAAATCTCTAATATTAACAAGTAAACAAACAACCAAAAATCATTTTTCCCATTAAAGTTACTTCTGCCTCAATCTAGTACCTTTTCACATTAACAGTTGTTCACATTCAACAATGTTTGTGTTACCATTGTCTCAAAAGTGATTTTACCTTCTACCTCTCCCTAAGTAGATGATATACAATGTATCGGTGATGTGCACATTACCAAAGAAGCTAATTCTCACATTTATAATTTTTTTTTAAGTTAGTTGCTGACATTTTGGGGAAGCAAAACAACCACTTAAGGTACTCCAGAAAATATGAAAGCATTTAATTGCTTCTAAAAGATGAACAATATATTTGCTATTAACAATAGGTTAGAACTTCTATTACTGGGCTGGGTACAGTGGATCACTTGAGGCCAGGAGTTCCAGACCAGCCTGGGCAACATAAGGAGACTCCATCTTCACAAAAATTAAAAAAAAAAAATTTTTCTGGGTGTGGTGGCACATGCCTGTAGTCTCAGTTACTCAGGAGGCTGAGGCAGGAAGATTGCTTGAGCCCAGCAGTTTGAGGTTACATGAGCAACCACTGCACTCCAGTCTGGGTGACAGAGGAAGACCCTAACTCAAAAAAAAAAAAAAATGCTATTACTGATTTTGTAAGTTTTTTCCCAAAATAAAATGGATAAAAAGCTAAATTGATGGGTTTTGTTTTAAACACTATGGAATAAGAAAAAGGCAAAAACTTTTTTATAACCTACTTTATTTTGGAATTATTTTTCTTTTAAACATTTCAAAATCATCTTAGTTTCAGAACTGAGATAATTTCAACTGGATAGAGAAAAGACTAGAAGAGAAATTTATTAATTTAAAAATATGTTTTGACTGTTTACTATGTATAAGATGCCACCAGACATGATGGGAAATATAAAAAAGGAATATAGCTACCAGTCTCTACCATTAAGGTACTCATAACCTAAAAAAATGGGGGAGATGAATACCACAGGACACATATCTACTCGAATTATAGATAGAACAGTGGAAACCAAATGTGATCCATAAACCCCTAAAGACCTTCAAGAGCCATTCAGGAAGGATGTGTAAGTTCAAAACTACTTTTATAATAATACAAAGACATCATTTGCTTTTTTCACAGTGTTGATATTTGCACTGATGATGCAAAAGCACTCTGGGCAAAACTGCTGGCACCTTACTATGAACCAAGGAAGTAGCACCAAATTGTACCAGTAGTAGTTGTATTCTTTACTATTATACACTGCAGTAAAAGAATGTCAATTTCACTGAAGAATGTGCTTGACAAAACAGTAAATATTACCAATTTTATTAAATTTTGACTCTGCAGTGTACATTTAAAAAATATTCTATGTGATAAGGGGAAGTATGCATAAAGCACTTCTGTTGTATATAGAAGTACAACGGTTGTCTTGATTTTGGAAAAACACTTGTGTAACTGAGATGTGAGGGAATGTGCAGATTTTTTTTTTCACAGAGTGCTGTGAAAAAAATTCACAGCACTGAAAAATTAAGGTTTTCCAATATTGAGTATTCAACAGATATTTTCTATATGAAATGAACAAAGTAAGCCTACTGCTCTGAGGAAAATAACTGGCAGTACTTGTTGCCAACAATTAAATTCAAACTTTCAAGTGAAAATTAGAATTTTGCCACCATGAGCTTAATATTCAAAAACTTTTCTGATAAGATAGGTACTGATATTAACAAATATAATTTTATATTGTAATGAAATGTGTCTACATTTGGAAGATGTACTTAACTCAGTGAACCAATATTTTCGAAATGACTAATGCACAATGCTATAAAATCATAAGTAAAAGTTCCACTCCAAGAGTAAAACAAATCAATACATTTTAATGTAACAGACAAAATTCATTGCTAAATTTCCAGATTCCACAT